CAAGTGTGGCTGCAGAGTTCGGAATTGCTCACAGCATCGTTTCACGACTTTGGAGACAATTTCAAAACTACAGGAACAACTATCCGGGGGTTTAGTAGTGGTCGTCACGAGGAACCACACCCGCAGATGACCGGATATATTGCCTTACAGGCCAGAGAAGAAACAGGCGGCAGACAGCGGGAGAAAGAAATCGCTAGACACACGACACAGGCGACTGGACGACCGATATCGCGTTTTTAAAACCGTGGCCAGAAGACTGCAGGGTGGTGGTCTGTTTGCACGACGCCCTGTACGTACGGTGGTACCTCTAACGCCTGTCCCATCGAAGAAGGCGTTCTCTGTGGTGCCGGGGGGAACATCGGAATTCGAGAGACAATGAATGGGGACGAGTACTCTTTACAGAGATGAGAGCAGATTCAGTCTGAGTAGTGATTCTCATCGCATACTCATCTGGAGAGAGCGGGGAAGCCGCAATCATCCCTCGAACATCATTGAAAGGGACAGGTATGGAGGTGGCCGGTGTTCTCATTTGGGGAGGCATCATGCTTGGTAGTCGTACAGACCTTACATCTTCGACGCAGGTTCAGTCAACGGGACCCGTTATTGTAACAAGATTCTTCTTCCATATGTGCATCTTTTTAGAGGCGCTATGGGTCCGCAGTTCTTTTTCATGGACGACAATGCACCATGTCATTGCACAGTAGCTGCCGAACAGCTCTTAGAGAGTGAAGATATTGAACGTATGGGTTGGCCGGCACCATCTACGGATCTCAATCCCATCGAGCATGTATGGGATTTTCTAGGCAGACACTTGGCAGCTCGTACCTTACCACCAGTAATGATTCCGGAGCTTCGATTGGCGCTGCAAGACGAATGGGCAGCAATGCCTCAACAACTCACTGACACCCTCATTCTTAGCATCGGCAGACGCTGTGAAACCTGCCTAGCACTCAGGGGAGATCATATTCCCTATTAAAGACCGGATGTTTCTTGCTGGACACCCATCACAGGGATGTTTCGGCCTTCAGTCGCATTGCGCTCCATGCTACTTTTTCAATAAAGCTTCTTTTTATCCCTCTGATTTCTCTTTTAGTAAGTGTTGCTTACATTACTCATGTCCTTACGCATTGGGGATCTTACGGTATTAAATGTGTTGATTTGGAAAGCTTTTGTACAAAGTTATATTGAAAAAAAACCGTCTCGTCCTTAATTTTTGCACACCAGTGTATTTTAAGACTATACCTAACATTCTAAGCTCAGTTTTCATTAAATCTTATGTGTTGGCTGAAGAACCTAACATTCAACTCCTTAAATTCACTATGCTAGCTTTTACTTTTTTTCAAATCATTATCACTTGCAAACTTATATTTTAAATTTATCATATACAATACCTGAACACTTTTACTAAACAGTTAACAGAACACTTTACAAAACAGTTAATAAACATTCTTCGTGAATAAAAAACTTAAAATTCATTTACATTCAAAACATTACTCTGTTTCCACTTTACATACTACAAACTACAAACTACGAAATCCTTCAAAGTAAATACTTAATTAAATTAAAAAAAAAAAACTTCTTGCTGAATAAAATCTATGATGTCCTCACTTGAGGCAAAACTCAATATACATGACAACTGTTGCACTAAGACATAAAAATCAACTGAATATTCAAGAAAATAAATCAAACTTTCACTTATCTTTATTTCTTTGGAACTCATCAATTCTTTTTTGCAGAAATTTCTGCCAGGAAGGAAAAGTACTTTTGTGATAGTTACATAATTTTCTTCTCGGTCATTGATTACTTGGCTTTGCAACTGGTAGTTTATGTTACTGGCCCTTGTTCGTTATTCATCTGGATTTCCTCTGGAACTGTGGAGATTCTGGTGAAGCAGCCGCTTTCTTGCTATTTGATATGACGTCTAAAACCTCCTCTAGTTCACCAAGAACTTCAGCCACTGGCCTGGCTTGTCATCCATCGGTCGCTTTTTGTGTAAATTCTGGTTTGGTTGCACGGACTTTTTCCCAATGTTGCAAGCCTCTCTCATAGCTGGGCTTCTCATTCAGTGACTTCCCAACAGTTTTTGCTGATCACTCAACTGGATGCCACATCTGAGGGATCTCTGTACCATTTTTTGCCTTTTGGATAAGTTTCTTGTCTGTCTTCTTGGCCTCCTATTTTCTGCAGCTTTGCTTTTTGCAACTCACCAAACCTGGGTTTTCTCTTTTTCACCATTTCTGGCCTCCTTCCTGTTCCTTTGCAGACATTGTACTCTGGATGATGATGATGTATGTACCGCAGATGGCCCTTCATTGTTTACACTGGGTGATTCTTGCAAAACATCTTGTAGCACTGGCATATTAATCTGTTCATAATAATGCTGGAACTGGTCGATGTTGGCTTTAGTGCTTTCATCATTTTGGCCTTATTCACTGAATTAAAAATGGCCTCTGTACTTATTACAACAAAACTCCTCAAACTTTCCTTCTGGTGCATACAAAAGAGAATGTTTAATTTTAAAGACTTTATTTCCCATCTTAAAATCAACTTCTCGCCTTTTCTTGGCATAATAAAACTTTTGTTTTACCCTAGCTATATCCGAATTTCTACCTGCTTTATCCACTAATTTCTAAATGTCTGCCATCTTAAATTCCACAGACCTCTTTTGGACTAAAAAAAAAAAAAAAAAAAAAAAGTTTATCTACAGGTGCATTTAACTTTCTGCTAAGAAATAAATCAGCAGGCATCTTCCTGGTAGTATTATATTTAGCCAACCTGAAGGCAAATGAAAGTTATTGACAGTCATCCCAACGTTTGTGATAATTTTTTCACGTGGCTACAGATAATTTTAACTGTGTTTTTATTAACATTAACTTGCTCTGCAATATTCAACTGTGGTCAATAAGAATCCATCTTAAAATGTTTCATGTTAAGACCTGAACATACCTAAAAAATTTGCTTTCTATTAGCTGAAACAACTAATGAATTGCTTTCTATTAACTGATATGATCTTGTGGAGTTCCATACTTTAATATAAATTCATCTAAAAATATATCTGCAACAAATTTAGTAAAAGTTCTTTTGAGGGGAATCATGTCTACCTGTTTTGAGAAATGATCAGTGAATTATGAGCAAATACTGATTTTTTGTTTTTTTCACTACATGGGTACAGACCTAGTATTTCAATTCCTGTTAATTCATTAGGGAATGTAGCTTTTATGCTATTTAGGTTATAATTAATATCGTTAACTGATTGGCAAATGTTACAGGACTTGATATTTTCTGTTACAAATTTTTGTAGCTGTGTTATATAAATAGCTTCCGTTACTCTCCGGACTGTTTTTTTTTAGATTACAAGAAGGCTTGAAATTTATGCACCATACGATTCCTGCAAAATACTCAGTCTTAAACACGAGTGTAATAACCAGTCTCAATTCATTATTATTATTATTTGTTGCTTTGGAGTAAAGATTAAAAAATTTGAGCAAAAAATTTTCAATTATTTCATAATTTGCAGCTCTGTTTCTAATACCTGTCACATTGCGGTATTCAAAGTAGTCGGGATCTTTTAAATATGCACAAATATTTTTAAATTCTGGATCTGTCTGTAGTTCTACAATAATTGTCCATCAAAATAACTGGTGCAGGTTTTTAATGAATTGTCTTAAGTTAATCCAAAGGCTTTAATTAATACTTATGTAGGTATTTTGATGTGCTGAATTTTTATGTGCATTTGTATCTATTGAATATATAAGTGATTAAAGAATTATATGTGAGTGTTTATTAATAAAGAGTTGCCAGTTTTTTTTTCAGAATTCCACAGGAACAACTGGCATAATTTTGGCAAGATAGCTCTCATAGTTTGATGATAAACCAACTTTTACAATTGATGGGATAATATGCAAGCAGTGAAAAAATTTATGATTTTAATGATTTCTTACATTTCTCTGTCAAAAGTTAAAAATTTATAAAGGACCAAACTAAGCAATGCCACTATTGCCAAATATTCAATCATTCTTCCAAAAACTGCTACATTCCCCCAGGTGTGTAAAATGTAGCTTAAATCACAAAACTATCAATTGCCTCAGAAAAGAAAAAAATAAGCAATCTTTTGCTGTATCTGTGAATATATCAGTCACCCGATTCATACCGTGGCTGCCCAAAATCCCCATTCCCCCAGAAAAAAACAGACGAAAGAATTAAGAAAAGCTCAGTCAGACCAGGTCAGCCACTCTCAAGGTGTAAATCCAAAGAAAGTTAGAGCTAAAACTGAAACTACTTCCACCGATACAAATAATATTCTTGCTAAAATGATGAGTCTAATTAAAACCACCCTGAGTACTAATCAAATCCCTTAATTCTAAAAACCCCTTAATGCTAGATTTACAAATATATTCAATACATTACAAGAACTTTGAAATGCTTTTGGATGCAACAAGATTCGTTCTCCCACAACCAACTTAACTTTACCCCTTCTCTTTATGTTTATGCCTATTTCAAAATTCGCATGATATCAGAAAAGAGACTCCCTATCCTGTCAACCTTGCAAAGCCTGATTAACCTTTGCTTGCACTTTCCAATAACACAGCAAAATTTACATCAAAATAAGGTTGCTTTTTTGCCTAATATTAAAATAATAAAAATAAGCAAGGAACACGCTTGAAAATTGAATTCCCCAAAAAAGTCCAAGATACTGCATAAGTACTATACAGAAGTGACACAGATGTAAATATTCTGTCCACGCCTGTTTGTCGCACTCTTGATAAAGAGGAATTTGGTGAATTCAAAAGTCCGAGATTTCTCAGACTTCAATATTATTAAATATACTCCAATGTCCTATATCTGCGTTATTGTCCCTTCTTAAGATTTTCTTCAAGATGAACAAAATTGAATTACATTTTTCTCCAATTAAGTTTTTAACCAGTAAAACAAAACATTTTACAGAAAAGAATCATATATTCATTTAAACTGAAAGTATAATAATGTTAACAAATACATACCTCATAAAATGCAGTTTGCTTTTCTGTCATATGATTTAATGGCACGTGAATTTCTCCTGTCAACTGGTCAACTAACATAGCATGTCTGTGACTAAAAGTACCTCTTCCAACATCTTGGCCGCTTATACGTACATTATGACCTATAACAGACAATATGCTATATTAATTCAAAAGAAAAATACAAATTTACTAAGGAAACAAACTTAGACTTGAAAATAAGATATAAAAACATTTATGAAACACTAGTACTAGCACTTCTGAAAAAAACTTTTGTTTAAACTTCATACACACAATGATAAAAAAATAAATAAATAAATAAATAAAAATAATAATAATTAAAAAAAAAAAAGAAAAAAGGCAAAATTAAGTCATAATTACTTTAGATGCATTGAAATCTATTAAAACAATAAATCTATTACTTATTAATCACATTCCAATTCAGTTAACCTTTCAGATACTATGCAAATAAATTGATAACATTAATAATAATTTCATATAAATCATTATCAATATTTATGTATTCAGTTTTCGCTTAAAATATATTGAGAATTTTACCACTGTATTTTTAATTGATGATAAAACAGAATAGTCATCTATTCTTGCTTTTATTTCTCACTGAATGACAAATAAAGTTATGCATAGTTGAAATTATTTTTATGAATACATTAATGTCCAGAATTAAAGTAACAAAACACAAAGTAACATAATTAAAATAACAAATACAAGCTGCACAATATACTGTTTAATAGAGAAAATGCTACATCAAAAGACAACATAATGCCTTGTCAATGAATGCAAAGTTCACAAAGAGCTTCATATTAGACTTTTGCACTGATGGTTAGTCCTTGTGCCATATCATGGAGGCCTCTGTACTAATGGTTGGTCCTTATGCCGTAACATGGAAGAAACATTTTTGGATGCATCTACATTTTGAAGTGACACATGGATCATCAGCATAGAATAATTGGTTTGGGTGCTGTTAGTGCCTACAGCTGTTTACAGGCACATTACAGGATGTTGCCATGTTGACGAAATGCTTCAGCTCCATCTTCTTCTGTATCATACCCAAACACTACTTTTTATTAAGATAATGCCTAGCCACACACTGCTCAATTTACCCTGAATGCATTGCAAACTGTGCAGATGCTTTCTTGGCTAGCTTGACTCCCTAATCACCTATCAGTCAAGCATTTGTGCAGCCCGATTTGAGCATTGGTTGCACACTTCTTCTCCTTCACAAAACAAAGATAAACTGTAGTAGTACATCAAAATTGCAACACAGGACATGATTCACACATTCACTTGTTAAATGCCATGTGTTCAATAATGTAATGCCCAAAACAGAAGTTCAACATCTTATTTACATCCTGTATATCTACATTACTGTTGCACATCTTTGACATCTAAACTATTTGTGAAGTATTTGGTTTGCTATGTACATACAAAGTTTTATCTGTTTTCAATAAATTTTTCATGGTGTGGTATTTCTGTCAGGCTATATATTTCAAGAAAGTTTAGTGAATTCGAAAGAAATTAATGCAAAGTTGCCACAAGCTATGAGGAAGTAATATACCAGTATAACATAAAATACAAAATATATGCAACTTTGGGAATATCCATCTGAAACCTGATATAGTGGATCTTCCTGGTTAACAAATAATGATAAATAGTTCTAAAATATTGTTATGCAACATCTCACACCAAGCATTCACTTTCGGCCTGTCCCGCTTGAATTTCCTTGGGGATTTTTGGATTTCCAAGTCCTCACAGTGTATGTACACTGAGGGGAAAAAAAAAGATTGGCAGTTCTATATGTTTCATTCTGCTGAACTGATTAACAAACTTCAAATTTCGTTTTTCATGCCTTGAAAGCCCGACTTAGGATGTATATTAGATTTATATACAGCATTGTCCTAGCACAGGTGTTTTTTCTGAAATAACATACCAATTTTTTTCTATATTTCCATTCTACGACTCAAATTATACCTAGATATTAAATTTTGTAATTTTTAGTGAGAAATTTATGAAGAAATTAAAAAATTTATCTTGGCGGGTTTTTTTTTTTTTTTCCAGTTTGCACAAAGAAGAATTCAGTTGACGAACTTCTTATTTTATAGCAACATATTTTCCTGTCCTTTCTGTCATTGTCCACGTGCGGAAAAAAAGGTCATCATTTATACTTTCAAATAATTTTAACAGAGTGCATAACCACATTTTCGTTATTATCACTTATAATAAACACACCAAATTTTAAAATGCACCAAAATGTAAAATCACGTATAGCTTAGGAAATTCTGAATAAAAAAACTCTAATTTTTTGAAAGTATGCTTCAAGTACATCTATTTTAAGATAATGGCAAAAATTATACATATTAAAATTCAAAATTTTTTCCGAAAAATTTATAAAAATTACTTAAAAATACAAATTTTAAAAATAAATTATAAAAAATTGGTGAATTTTATTCAAAATGAACCTAAATTTTGAAATTTGGAATGAAGAATTAAATATGTTTAATAAAAAAAAGATATTACTAAATACACCTATTCCTCAATTTACATAGAAGATAGGTTCAGCACAAAACCGTGTAAATCGAAATCTTGGATTTTGCTATGTAAAACCAAATAGTTTTCTGGTTGCAATTTTCTAATTTCGACTATGCGTAATGTATATGCTTTACGCATGCGCGCGTTGAAAGAAATGTTTAATAAAGTAAACAAATAAATATTAAGCTTTTTTTTGGTAAATTTTGATACCCTTTAGATCATAATTGCTCTTTATTTCATAAATTACGATTTCATATTTTCAATTTTATAATTTCTACATGCCATGTTACCAGATTTAAACTGATGATCTATAATCCGGAAAAACTGAAGTCCCAACGAGTCTGGATTAAAGACTTTTAATTGTACTACTTTCCGCTACCTTATGACCCCTAGCTGATTTGCAAGCTTTATCTAAATAGGTTTTTTCAGGAATTTTTTCCAGAACAGGACGGACTCGTCAGCATTGGAGATCTGATCAGAAGTGTAGGAATTGGCGGCAATGACTTCAGCAAATTGTGCTGGATATTGTTGTGATGCATCCGAATCAGCAGATGCACTTTCTTGTTTCTATCTCAGATTATATAAAGAATGTCTTTGTTTAAATCTCTCAAACCAACCATGACTTGTGGAAAAATATATCTCTTTTTCATCTGACTATGTCAACGGTGACTGATTCTTAAGTGCTTTATAAATCTTTAAAGCCTTATTTGTAATGGCATTAGTATCCATTGGAATCCGTTTTTGATTTTGGTCTTCTATCTGTATCACTAATGCCTTTTCCATATTTTCCATTGTATCATCTCTTTCATATGAAATTGTGCTCTTACTGCTGCAAGTTCCAGCTGCTATACTTTTTCTAATAGAGTCTTCATTTTTTGCTAATTGTACATATTGTGGCTTCATTCATGGAGTAAAATTTAGCAACATCTGTTACTCTTTCTCTATTATGTAGACGACCTAATATTTTAATTTTTATTTCTAAAGAAATAACTTTTCTTTTTGTTTGACTTTTTTCTAATCTTTTGGCATTATAAGACCTTAAAAAATTTACATAAATTATAAAAATGCCACAGAAAATATAAATGTTGAAAATGTATTAGTAAACATTCAAATATGTAGATAAAAACGTCACAAGCTTTGCCACTAAAATACTGATACTGCACTAGTTCACATGAACCAAATAGCTTTACTGTTGTGAAATACAAATTCATTCATTCATTATCTTTATTGGCGGAATGTTGCTGTTTTAACGCAACGTTTCCGGCTCTTGACACTTTGGCCTGGAGGTCGCATGACGGTGAAGAACAATGACAAGGTGAAAGGAGGCTTAGTAGTGGAAAGAAGGGGGTGATTGCAAGACGTCGCAAGTGAGGAGAAACAAGCAAATGCAGCCATTGACCATGAGAGGCGAAGACAGGGTGGAAATCTGACATGTTCAGTTGTTTCTTTCACGTTTTTCCATTTGTCAGGAAAGTATTTATTTTCCAGACAAGCATTAAGAATGCTGACATATTTCGTGACAGTGGTAATAGGCATATTTTAAATAGCGACGTTTGTAATTTCATAGTATCCAGGGGATTTGCAGTTTTTCATTTTTCTAATAATGTTCCTGACTTCAGCAGGCGATGCGTATCCTGTACGATTTTTGGCCCCGGGGCCATCAAGCCAGTCTTTGATGAAATGCTGTGTATTGTAAGAGAACAGTGGGTCACTAGGGTCTTGATTTGGTACAAACTGTTTTTCTAAATGTTCTGCCATAAGTGCAGCCTTTTCTTTGTAAGTGAGTGCAATTCTATTGTTGCTATAAATGGGCTTATTACACGGGGGCTTTTGTCGAAGGTTTCTCGCAAATGACCAGAAAGCATTTCCATGTTCGTTGAAGCTCTCGATTTTATTGTTCCAAGCCTTGTCTCAATGTTTTCTAATACTGTTTCTAATTTTATTATTTAGTCTATTTAAGTCTTTCTTGACACCTGGGTCCCAAGAGATATGCCACCTCTTTCTCAATCTGTTTTGTTGTTTGATCATATCTGTGATTTCTTTGGGTAACCTGGTACTGTCCTTATCTGCTGGAATTTTCCTAGTAGCAGTGTTGTATGTGCTTAGGATACTATTGTTTAAAATCTCAATGGCATTATCGATGTCATTCTTAGTCTTAAGAGAATTAAAAATTGGAGGGTTCTCTAACAGTTGATTGTAGTACTGTTGTCAATCAGTGATTCTTTTGAATTTATTGTCATTGCATCTATTAGTACCCAATATAGCTATTACGGGCACATGATCAGAGGTCATTTCTACATCCCAGTACATTGGCATGAAGGTATTCGTGAGGAAGATGTCTAAAATATATCCTCTTCTGGGGTTATCTGGGTGGTAGGTATAGTCCGTTGGGCATAAAAGTAAATGGGGTAGTTATTTATAAAATCAAGTAGGATTTCACCATTATTGTTGGTCATTCGACATCACCATTCTATATTCTTAGAATTCAGATCCCCAGCCAGGATAATGTGTTTATTATTCGGAAGAAGCTCTGCTAATTTGTCGATATCAAGTACATTATTCAGTGGGTTGTACAGCACTATAAAATAAACAACTA